CTGTAATAATCCTGAATGTCTCTCGCTGGTAGCCACTGGTCGAAAACAATCAACGCCAGTACGCTGAAAGCAGCAATACCACAGGTCGCGGAAAAAACGGATGGATATGAATTAGTCGCTGAAAAAGCGGCGATTGTATTCCACGCGCTAGCTGTGTTTGAAAATAGTGATGTAACCAGAGAAGGCTTGTGAAGATTTCTGGATTTGTCCGAGAAACTACTGTTTGATGAAATCATTCCTAACACAATTATCTAGCACGATGCAACACTGTTGTAATTTGAAGCCAAAATCTTTATTGGTATATGCGGAAAACAAGCATTATTAAAAAGAAATTCAGCACGACAACAATGACACAGATTAAAGATCTTCCCAAAATTCGCCGAAATCCACATGGTCGTTGATTTTGCAGCTTAGATTTCTACAAAATCTATTGAATGTATAAGTTTGCTTGTTAGCACTTGAAGACCGTAGCATTTGTGTCGACGAAACCAATGATCCTGGGCGAAGAAGATGCCAGTGGACAGAAAATATTGTAATTTTGACTCCAATAATTATGCCTTTAAATGCAACTACCGAGCAAAATGGTATATACGTAAAGGAAACCAGATAACCCGGAGAGAAGATACCAGTGAAAAGTACTGTAACTTTGATACCAACAGTTATTTCTTTGAACACCCTGCCTGAAGTTGTGGACAGTTACTGGCAGCTGATTCCAGAACAGATCGCGAATTCGAGTGAAAGTGAGAAGCACGTGAAACATATACAAAAAATCGTTTTTCTTAGCAGACTGTTTTTCAGCAACTGAACCTCTGCTTGCAACGATTTTGAGCTTGGGGATTTATCCAAACCATTGGCAAGATGAGACATACTTTTCAAAACTATTATTCCAAGAAAAACCCGAAAAAAAGCCAGACTTCCAGACCGCCCAGTCTATTGTCCGAGAATATTTGTGATACTTGTTATGCCGAACTGTCTGAGTAAGCTTGCGGTTGCAGTATGGCCAGTTGCACTTAATAAAAATGATAGTGGTAGCGAGAATATCTTTAAGAATGGTTCCCTGCCATCACGGATCACGTCGGCTGCGTCATTGACGAACAAACCTGCGTTGATCAGTGCTTTGCTATTTGCCAGAAACAATTCGGTGCCTTTCCTTCGGCCTTCCATCTCAATTTGCAGTTGATACAAGAGATCATCCAGTGGCTGAATGCCATCGTGTTGTATTATTGGGGCAGTGGCCAGTTCGTCGAATTTCTCTGTTGTTGTGTCGTGGCCTGTGGATGGCATTTCTGTTTGAACTGGCTGAAACAGAAATATTCAAATGGTCATTTCTGGCCACACTGCGTCAGAAATCAGGTGTTGCGTGAAAGCGAAAGAGAGGAAGAGAAAGAGAATGAATGGTTTTAAATCATTTTTTATTCAGCTGTGGTTGAGACTTGATTCTGCCGACCTTTTTGGATCTAAAAAGGTTTGATCTTACACCGACATCTTACACCAAAAATTAGAGAGGCGAAAATTTCGTAAATAATGAGT